TACCCCACCTGCAATTTGCACCCTGCATTGATGCCCAGTGTGCAAGATGTGACGGGTCCCTTGGCGGCTTCAAGTTCCCGTTCATTGGCACCTGGTGCCGGCGTGCAGTCTTGGTTCAAGAAGGTGCATCTGCAGAGGAGGCTTGGGCCGCCTATCATGGGTGTTATGAGGAGGATCGCCTGTCTGAGGCCATGGTGGCTGAAGCAGGCAGTGGCCTCCGTGCCCAGGACATCATCCCGATGTATGTCTCCGCCATTGCGGGCCGGGTGGAATCTGGCGACCTCCCCTTCGTGTCCTTCAGGGGCTTCATGGGGACCTGGCGGAGATGGAGCTTGGGCGCTCGGAGGTGGACCGAGCCATGGCCCAGGGAGAGCGACTCCCTGGCCAGAGCCACAGCGGGGAGGCTTCTCCGTGGGTGGCTGGACGAGGGCAGGAGGAACCTCCCTCTGGGCGGGCTTTGCGCCTACTGCGGAAGCAGGACTCACTCTGTGTGCGCTTCATGTGGCATCCATCAATGCGAAGCCTGCCCCATCCGCTGCTGCCAAGGCTCTACGCTGGGGGGCGCTGCTCTTAGCCATGGCGTTTCGCGGTGACGCCACTCCTGGGCGCTATGCCACTGAAGCCATGGAGCACTCCGGGGGCGACCCGGGCGGCTCTGGCGAAGGGCTGATGTCTCGTGTCCAGGAGGCCAATGTTCGAGCCTTTCGGCAGAAGCACGGGCTGCTGCAGGACTCCGACTTCGGCTTCGCCTTTGAGGCCTTCGAGGATGCGGTCCGCGCAGGTGGCCACTTCGTCGCCGCTGAATGGGCGCGGGTGCGGGCGGAGCAACAGGCTCACCTCCTCCCGGCAGGCGCGGCAGTGGTGGAGGCGGACCCCTGGCGAGTGACGCCGGTGGGGCCATCGACCCTCCGTCGGCCGGCGGTGCGGCTCCCCACAAGCAACGTGGGCCTGCGGTTGAGGCAGAACCCGGACAACGCCGAAGCGGTTAGCCGCAGGGTCAACCTGCTGACGGAGGCCTTCATGAAGCTGGGCGTCCTTCGGCCCCGGAGGTGCGACGACCCGAAGCGCTATGCCGACTGGCAGCAAGCGGTTCGGAGGCTGGCTCAGGAACGAGTCACCCAGTCCGAGGCGACCACGATCCTGAACGCGGTGAGGACGTTCCAGGAGCTCTCGCTCTTCCTCGCAGCCAGGGGCGTGCAGGACCCGGAGGAGTTGGACTTTCACGCCTTCCTTGAGCAGGCTATGTCGCCATCGCGAGCGCTGCAGTCATTGCGCTGGTTGTCCAACAACGGCAGGTTGCAGTGGCAGCTGGACCGCCTGAAGCCCCCCAAAGTTATTGGGAAGGTGCGCAAGGCGAGGTCCCAGGCCGTGGTGGTGGAACCGCCCATGCTGCTCACCCTGGAGGGCCGGATCATCGAGATGCAGCAAGCCCGAGATCCAGCTTGGACAGCAGCGCTGTCGTCGTGGCTCGTGGCTTCGGGTTGCCTGCGCTACAAGCACCTGTGCTTATCCACGCCGGTGAAGATCAGCAGGGAGTTCTTCCACGGCCACTGCCGCAAAGGGAAGCAGTCCCACAACCGGCAAGGATTCGACTGGTGTGCACCAGCTCGTTTCTCCAACGGTTGGCATTGGGCCGACAAGTGGCTGGAGGACTATCAGGGGCTAGCGCCGGAGCAGCACGACAAGTGCGGCATCTGCTTTCACCCAGCCTCTGGCCAGGCGTGGCCCATCCGGGAGGTGCAGAGAGTGACTCAGCACCTCTTCCATGGCGTGGTGGAGCCCCTCGAGCAGCTCACCAGCTATTCCTGGAGGAGATTGTTGCCGACGGTGGGCTCTTTGATCCGCCTTCAGGACGCGGAGATCGTTTCCCTTGGAGACTGGCAGGACAAGGTCGAGGAGCGTGTCGCGATGCCGTTCCACTACAGCGGCGGCAAGTACGCCTTGTCCATGCGTACCAAGATGAGAGCCTTCCTCGTGGCGGCCAAGGTCGCGGACTGCGAGGCCTGGGAGACGGTCACCGAGGAGGAGATCGCCGAAGCCGACGAGGAGGCCAAGATCAAGGCCGCTCAGGCTTGCCGAGGGGACACAGAGGTGATCTGGGCCCAGGCACCGCAGACCACGGCGCTGAAGAGGCGTTTCTCCCTGAGCCAGTCGCTCGTGCACAGCGCCCGTGAGCGAATGAGAAAGCCGGCTCCCTCGGCCAGGGCCATGCCATCCAGGGCGAGATCTTCCTCACGGGGCGTCTGAAGAACGGTACAGCGTTGTGCCCGGACTTCAACACAGGCGAATGCCGCCAGGACCCGTGCGCAAGGGAGCACTTGTGCGCGATGCTGCAACAAACGGGCAGGGCTTGTGGAGGACGCCGCCTGGCAAGCGAGTGCCGAGCAAAGCGGCGGATGACGGAGGCGAAGCTTCGCGAGCTGGGGCTGCCTGTGCCGGCTGACCCTGTGGAGGTGGGGGCGACCCGCCCCGCAGGGGCGCCATCGGAGGCGCCGGCTCAGAAGCGCCGAAGAATCTTGCCGCCGCCGCTGCCAATCGCCCCGGCCGGGCCCATGTCATCCAGACCGTCGGCCGAGGAGCTCCGCGAGGCTGCAGCAGCCAACCGCGTTGTGGAGGTCGAGGATGCGGAGATCGGCGAAGTTCCTGCCTCGGTGGATACCAGGCGCCCGGCAGAACCAGCCGAGATCCCGGGCAACTTCTTGGAGATCCCGGAGTGCCTGGGTTTGAACCCAGCTGACAGCAAATGGGACCGGTTGGCAACCGTGCGGGGGAAGTCCGCCCAGACCCCATCGCTGATCTACAACAACGTGCGAGGAGGAGCCCTCTTTTTGGCGGGCATCCCCACGGCAGTCACGGCCGCAGCCTTCCCAGCATGCAGCCTCCAGGTGGTTTGCTTCCCGGAGAGGCTGGCCCAGCGGCAAGGTGTGCCCTTGTCCGGGGCTCACGTGGAGTACTTCGCCATCGCCCACGCCGACCGACGGCAGGAGGACTGGGACAGGGTGTGGCCCCTGGTACGGCGCTCGCTCTACCACGGAGACGTCGTCATCGTCCACTGCATGGCGGGGCGTCACCGAGCCGCTCTTGCTGCGGCGATGTGGCTGGCGATGCTGAAGGGAATCAGCCTGGCGGACGCAGCGGGGGAGATCCGGAGATGCCGCGATGTGGAGATCACCAAGACCCTGCAGGACCGCAAGCTGGCCGGATGGGTGCACCAGGCGCTGGCGAGCTCAGCAGGTGTGTCTGAGCCGGTGTGCACCGGTTTCATGGCCACTGCGAAGAGCCAGGTCCACATCAGTACGGCCAAGGGATACCCGCTCTGCCAGCACAAGCAGGCGGCGCGCCGGGCTGACCGTCTGGCCTATCCGCTGACCACCTCGGACAAGTTCGAGGCCATCGCATGGGAGCAGCGCTTTTGCCGGACTTGCCTGAGCAAGTGCCCGGCTAGTTTCCTCCCTCAGTGAGCCAATTTTGGCCATGGGCGCCGGATTCGGGCTGCCCGAATTTAGTCCCCCATTTTGCACGCCATAGGAGTGCCGCGGGGCATTTGCCTGACACATTCTTCCGTGTGAAAAACGGGAGCGGCAGTACCAGGCATTGGATTGCCTCGACATGCATGAGTCACGGAGCATAGCCAGTCGACCATGTGGCATTCGGTTTTCAGACAGTTTCAACCGATTTACCATGCACCGTGGCAGGCACCCTGGGGATACCAGGGAGGAGGCCGGGGGGCGTTACCTCCCGTACGGCCGTCGGTCGCGGTATGCGGAGTTACCGGCGAGTGCACGCCAGGGGTCATCTTCCATGCAATTTTTAACGAGTTGAGGGTTGGGTTGATTTCGGTCGTGTGTCCCCTCCGTTTCCCCCCCCACTCATGTTTTTGGGGAGTCAGTTGAGGCCCAAGTGATTGCGCTGACACCTGGAAATCGCATGGCGACTTCCCTTGTCCCGTCAGACGGAGCCGATTGCCTGGACAGGCTCGGCAAGAATTTTCAATTGGCATCGGAGGTAGCCCTAAGTCTCCGGTATTGGTTTGTTTCGCGCGAGATGGAAAAAAACCAATCGAGATTGGTATTTCCCATCGTGGATTGGTAAGTGGTGTAATATCAATATTGCAAGATTGGTTTGTCAAAAATATCAATATTTGACCTTCCCTAGCAACTAGCTATTTTGAAGGTTTCCTTCCTAAATTGCTTTGACTTTGCAATTAGGAACCTTCTGACTTTGCAGTCACATTTATGACTTTGCAGTCATTTCCCACCCTCCCACCACCCCCAGAGAACATGACTTTGCAGTTATGCCCCACCTTCCCACCACCCCCAGCCCCACCTGAAAGCTGTTGGCAAATGCCCTCCTCACCACGAACCTTTTTTTTAGGATTGCCACAACTTCGCACCCCCCAGCCCCACATCACAATTAACCACTCCTGGCCCCAGACAAGAGCTGCTGGCAAAAGCACTTTTTTCCTTAGGCAGATTGGCCCAGCTGCAAAGTCATTGCTACATCAAGTTTCTCTGACAGCAAAAATGGCATGTCGCAAGTTGACACCCCCCTCAGGCA